CTAGAAAAAGTTACCATATTCCCGACAGGGTTATTATTATTACAAGCGTTTTTAATTTGTCACAATTCTATGTTAAACTAAACCTTTTTATTATTCATTAATTATTCACGTTATTTAATGGAGACATTAATGTTTAGCATGACGCTTTTTGTTTCAATTACAATTTTAAAACACCATTAACCAATTTAAATAAAATACCAGGTTACAATTTATCCCATTCCTCTTCTAAGGCTATTTTCAGCCGTTCTACTGTTCTTGGAAATTGGATTAAAATTATCTTGTGTTGATCATTTCCCCCGATTTATTTGCTTAAACTATAATGGAAAAATGCAAACTTTATATTTTTCATTATATATATTATATATTTATTTATTGACGTACAAATCAAATATATACTTTTTTGGCATAACCTTCATTTATGAATTGTCAAACTTCTGATTACCCAGGAATGACTTCAGGCACGTAGATAGATAGAGAGGGGGTAATTCGTCACCACAAATATTCTTTCATTTCGTTATTAATAATAACCCAGGAAGTAGACAGCTTTGGTATTATTATTACCAACTCTACCATTGTTCATAAGAATCATCGAATTCTTATTATTATTTTTTTTTTGTTTACTCTGCGACCACATACACCCAATTCGATTAATTACCTCATAGTAATAGAAGGAAAGCATTTTAAAAAAGCTACCAATATTTATATTGTTACTTAATGGGGAACCAAGCAATTTTTATCCACAATAGGAACATAAACATATTGTAAAATTGCTATTCTTTGAAATATAATAATAATAATAATAATAATAATAATAATTGTAATAATAATAATAATAATAATATAATAATAATAATAATAATTAATAATTAATAATTAATAATAATAATAATAATAATAATAATAGTTATATAATGACGCTGACTAAGGGTATTAGTATAGAACATTCTGGGTACATTTTCAATCGATTATAAATATAAGATGTGAGTATTTTAATAATTTTATAAAGGATACCTTTTTTTAATACATTTTATAAAGATCTTTTTTTTTTCTAATACATTTTATAAAGATCTTTTTTCCCTAAAAATCTTTTAAAAAATTTTTTTCTTATAAACTTTTTTAAAAATTTTTTTTAAAACATATTTTTTTTAAAAATGACTTCTTCTGTCGCGAAAAGATGTGCGCTAGAAATAGCAGTTGTCAACAAATTGAGGGATGCGGGGGATTGAGTGCGAACATACTGGGTGAGTGTTTTTCACAGAGTTATTTTGTCGAGTTCTTTGATGATAATGACACATTATACTCATTATTATTGTTTATTGTTTATTGTTTATCTATTATACAGAGGGCCGGACGACATGTGAATTGATATTAAAGGAGTTTCCTGCGGTATCCCATTTGTTATACAATGTAAGAATTGGACTCGAAAGAATATAGGTATTATATCAATTTTATATGCGAATCACATTAATTAAGATAACTTTCAATTAATTAATATCAAACATTTGCAGGTCGTCCGGCGGTGTACTAATTGGAGGGTTTCTCCTGAGGCAGGCAAAGGAGACGATCGATGTCGTGGTGGGCCGATCGAAAGAAGATGGTTTCACGCATGGTGCGTGGACCGCAGCTAATACGTCGGTTACTCACGGACGTGACTGATATTGTAGAGTATTTATCATTTATAGTCGCTGGTCGACTAAATAATAGATTCAAATTTTCTTGATAAATATTTTTTTGCTTCATTTTTTTTAACTATTTTTCGTATTTTATATATGTATTTTTCATCGTAAGTCTTATCCGTGAGAATACTATTGACGTTTTATCTCTTGTAAATATATAGATTCTTTTTGTATATATTTTTTACTTTTTGTATATATTTTTCCACTCTTTGTATATTTTTTTATTTTTACTTGTATACATTTTGATCAAATAAATAGACATATAAAAAAATCACATTGTAGATACATGATGCAAATACAAATAATTATTCCTTTGATTTTATGAGAATATGATATTCAGAAACGATTCTGTTAGGAATAAATTATGTAGAGATTGAAATTAATGGAAAGATCTTGGTGTTCGACATATCTTCAACTGCAGATTTAAACACAGTGACCTTATCTCTTCCTTATATACTTCAATTTTACGTTTTGAAAACGACACTTGATTACAATATGATCGTTGGATCGCACGATTTAAAAAAAAATACTTGATTAAGGAAGGGTAGTGATCGACCATATACAAGATTTATAGATATAAATGCATATTTCAATGTTTACTCTTCATTTCAGTACTAAAAGAAAAAGACTAACATTTATTATGAGAAAACATCTTTAAAAAATAATAACTCCTGTGTGTTTTTATTAATATTATGATTAAATATTATTTTTTTAATAGAATTATAACCAAGTCAAGCATATGTAGCGTAGTGTTCACTCTCTATAATGGCTTACGAAAAAATGTCCATTATAGACAGTAATAATAATGATTATTATTGTTATAGAAAGAATGAACTGTAGTTACTATTTTTGACATTTATTTCAAAATTTTGAACAGTCAACATACCACGTGAGTTGAAGCAGTACTAATAGTTATGAAGCACTTAAGCACTTTATTATCTGTTATAAGTAATAACTTTTAAAAAAGAAAAAAAAGCATGGCAACGTTATATCTTTTAGTGTGTGTTTGTATACACGCAATTTTTTCATTGATGTTGAAAGAATGTTATTCATATCCATAATGATTTAGATAAATTTGATCTTGCTCATTTTCATCAATATTGAGAGACATTGAAATTAATGGTTTTTTATTTTATTCTATTAAAGAAATAGCGCGCATTTCGAAGAGGTTGTGTTTTTTTTTATCTTCAACAAAGATTAATTTCTGGAGAAGTTTTGGCAAGCACCATATTTATCCTCCACCATTTATGTCATTTTTATGTGTAACTTTTTCCAAACTATTAAATTCTAAATTTACAAAATAACAATGATAATTTTAATATTTTAAATGGGGGATTTTTTAATTTGTAATATATATTTATATATTTCTTAAAGAAACCTAAGTTGAACATAACTTTGCATTATTCTATTACTGGATTTAATCATTATAGATTGCAAAACGAAAATCAAAGAATTATGCAACAGCTATCAGAGAGCTTATTACTGCTTCTTCGAAAGATGAGTGGTTGATTAATCATCGTAGATTCAATGATTGTTTTCAGAATCTTTATGAATTAGATTGTGTTTTTAGCAATGGCTCCAGTTTTTTTAATAAATTATTAATGACTTGTAAGAATATTCAATCATTTAAATTATCATTATACACTGATGATGATGATGATGATGATGATGATGATGATGATGATGATGATGATGTGAATATTTTTAAGTTAGCTCAACTAATTGAATCACAAAGTCAAGTTAAACATTTAACTCTTGATTCATATGATAATCTACCAAATATGATAGAAAAAGCAATATCAACACATTCACAATCAATTATAAGTTATACTAGTGATGATGCAGATAATTTAAATTCTCAAATAGTATCAACATTTCAAAATTTGAAATTATTATCATTAAGTGATGATTATGAAATTATAAAATGTTTAAAATCATTTCCAAATCTTGAAGTTTTACATTTATCAATTTGCTATCAATCATTTCTATTAGAATTGGCAGAATTTATTAAAATCAATGGGAAAAATCTTAAAATATTATATTGATGGATTTCCAGAAGATAAAGAACATTTAGGAGAATTTCTTCATACAATTGCACAATATTGTTTGAATCTTGAAAAATTAGCAATAATTTATAATAATGAATCAGATCAATATTTATTTGAAATATTTAATAATTGCATCAAATTAAAAGAAATTTCATTTGATAAGTATTGCAGATCATTAAATGTGGATATAATGTTGAGAGTATTAAATCAAACATTACCAAAGAAATTAAAAAAATTATGTTTTTTGTGTGAAATTGCTATTTATGATGTTAGTTCATTAAATACTTTAATGAAGAATTGGAAAGGACTTAAACCTTTTACAATAGAATCACATGAAAATTATAATTTTTTGGAAAAGAAGCAACTAGAAGATATATTAAGAAAATATCAAGATTTAGGATATTTAAATCATGAATATACAGTTATGGAGTATTACCATCAAATATTGTAATCATTTATCATATATTTGTACTATTTTTTTTCCTCCTAATGAAAGTTCTTTACATTTAGGGTGTTTTTTTTCTTTGGATCATTGCTAAGTTACTGATTTATACAGTATATAGCACACACATTTACTTAAAATGTTAATTATGTTTAATAAAATAAATTCCAATTTTTTTTTAAAAATCAACATACTCTCAAAAATGTCAACTAGTTTTTCATGTTTAGAAATATTAAGGCATTATTTAATAATCTTATCAATTCCTCATGCAACGTGATAAAGAGTTAGATATAGGAGTGGTATTAGCTTGATGGCTTTTTTCAGAGTTTCTAATTGATTCTTATACCATTAATACAAAGAGTTTTCATTATAAATTATCGAAGACAATCTTTATGATTATTCAATATATGTGTGTGCGTGCGTGCGTACATATATACTTCTATTTGCAGTTTTTCTTTACGTTGCTAGTATTATTAGAAAATTTTTTTTTTATTTGAAAATAATGATCAAAATTAATACTGATAACGAAAGCAACAACATGTCAATGTTGACATCAACATTAACATGGTTCTCATTTCAAAGAATGATTCACTAAAAATTCGCAAGTATCGCAGAGAGTCTATACAGGTTCCGTATTCCGTATATCTGCATCTCCGCTCTGTACGGAACAAAATATGGAATTAAAGATCGTACAGACTGGCCCCAATCAACTTTTCAGAATTCACAAGTTCCGTAGAAAAATTAAAAAATAAAAAGTGTACGGAACAAAAATAAACAGTGTACGGAATTGAAAGTTGTACTGACTGCATCGCAGAACACCAATCATTATATTTAATGTCAAACTCTTCATCTTTAAAAGTATTATCAACTTCAGCTGGTGTTGATTTAAATAATATTTCCAATTGGTTGCATCTGGTACATAAGTATAATGAGAGTTCATCTATATTATGGACACACTTTAGTGGATCAGTATAGAGGTGCGTGCTTAATTGATGATGAATGTAATCATGTTGTAAGAATGTGTCTTAGAAAACCTATATAGAACGTCTCCACAGAAATAATTTCATTGTCATGAGAAAGTTTTGTGGTTTTGGTGAATAAAAATTTTATTATTTAGTGTGTTAATTTTAGTATCTTTTATTTATTTATTTTTAATATTTAAATAATGGTATGAATATTGACCTAGTAAACAACCAGTAACTGAAGAAATGACTCATGGTTTTGTTTTCACCAAACTGATAGCAATTGAGCTGTTCAATTGTTAATTAAAAAGGCAGGCATTAAAAAGGATTTTGTACTTGTAAGCGATTTTGACATTGAAGTAATTTTTTATTGCCATTGACAATAATGAACTTAATAAAATTCAGAGTATGCATTCATCCTTTTGATATTAAATGAACAAAGAATTTGCTCTTAAATTTATTTATATATTCATTTTAGAAATCAGTTCATAATAATTTGGGAAAAGTTGGAGCTGTGTTAGTTGCATTCATGGACGAAGTTGAGTCAAGGTAACAATAGTCCAGAATCGAATGAATTAAAGTGGATTCTTAAATTTTTAATTGATAAAGAATTTAATATTATATTAAGATTCTTGTTATTAATTATTAATTAATTTTAATATTAATCATTTGTGGTATAAATAAAATTCGCTTAAAATGTTGGAGATTTATAACAGTTACAATCAAGATAATTGATGTTGCATTAAGAGGTTAGTTAATATCAATCAATCAATCAATTATTACATGATTATATGATTAGGAACTTTCTTGTTTTACTCATATCACATAATCTACATAACCATATTTTAATATTTAGATGATTTGGATTTAGACATTTAATGTGGTGTTCATTGATGGGTTTGGTTTGAGATGAATCAGCCTGGAAATTAAATAACAATGAGAGAAAAGCTATTGTATCTTATTTGGAAGTTATTAAGGGTTTTTATACATATATAATATGAGAGTATATATTTTCTTTGTCAATTATTATTTTTAAACCAATATATATATATATATATATATATGGCGGTACACAAGTACAGGAAAAAGTCATCCTTAAGAAACATTTGAGTCCTTTCATAAGGTACTTTGCTATAATTTAATGTATGTGAAAATATATTTATATAATATTCATATTCATATATATAATTTTTTTATGAACAAATAATTAGTCAATCTTTAAATATAATAAACCAATATTTTGATGATTTAATAATATTGAAGGATCAAGATGTTTTGAAAGATGAAAATTGCTGGAATAAAGTATTGGCATGTATTCCTAACATGGGTAAATATATTAATTAGTAGCCATTGAGGAAGGAAAGAAAGAAATGAAATTTTTATTATTATTAAAATTCAAAATCTTTTATTTTTCTATTGAATATAGAAATAAGAAATACTTTAAATGAACATTAGTTGGAAAATCCATCAGAAACATCTTTAGAATCTTACACAATGTAAAAATTATAACCAACAGTAAAAAATAAATATCAATATATGATGAAAATAAAAGAAGAGTACAATTTATATTACCAAACTTAAAGTAATAAATAAAGCTATCAAAGAACCAAAGAGCAAATGCAGCCTATTTACTATTTAAAATGAAACGAAACCAACAGTTAATATGTTTACAATTACAATGATATTGACTGTAATAATAATAATGATTAAAATACTTACTTTCTATAATTATTTAAAATAAAATCAAATCAACAGTTAATATATTTTCAAAAAAAATGATTAATAGTAAATGATGAGAATACTTACTCCCTATTTATTATTTAAAATAAAACAAAAATCAACAGTTAATATGTTTACAAAACAATGATGATATTGACTTAATAATAGTAAATTATGAAAATACTTACTCCCTATTTATTATTTAAAATAAAAGATTAATATGTTTACAAAGACAATAATATTGACTGTAATAATGGTAAATGATGAGAATACTTACTTTCTATTTATTATTTAAAATAAAATCAAATCAACAGTTAATAATATGTTTTCAAAAACAATGATATTGACTGTAATAATAGTAAATGATGAGAATACTTACTCCCTATTTATATTTAAAATAAAACAAAACCAACAGTTAATATTTTTCAAAAAGGATGATATTGACTGTAATAATGGTAAATGATGAAAATACTTACTTTCTATTTATTATTTAAAATAGACCAAAAATCAACAGTTAATATTTTTCAAAAATGATGATATTTACTGTAATAATAGTAAATGATAAGGATACTTACAAACTATTCATTATTTAAAATAAAATGGAAATCAACAGTTAATATTTTTTCAAAACAATGATAATAGTAAATTATGAAAATACTCACAGGCTATTCATTATTTAAAATAAACAAAAATTAAAAGTTAATATGTTTGCAAAACAATGATATTGACTGTAATAATAGTAAATGATGAGAATACTTACAAACTATTTATTATTTAAAATAAAATGAAATCAACAGTTAATATTTTTTCAAAAACAATGACATTGACTGTAATAATGGTAAATGATGAGAATACTTACTTTCTATTTATTATTTAAAATAAAGGGTTAATATTTTTTCAAAAACAATGATATTGACTGTAATAATGAAAATACTTACAGTCTATTCATTATTTAAAATGAAATGAAATCAATAATTAATATTTTTCAAAAACAATGATATTGACTGTAATAATAGTAAGTGATGAGAATACTTACTTTCTATCATTATTTAAAATAAAATCAAATCAACAGTTAATATGTTTTCAAAAACAATGATATTGGTTGTAGTAATAGTAAATTATGAAAATGCTTACAGGCTATTCATTATTTAAAATGAAATGAAATCAATAATTAATATTTTTCAAAAACAATGATATTGATTGTAATAATAGCAAATGACGAGAATACTTACTTTCTATCATTATTTAAAATAAAATAAAATCAACAGTTAATATATATGTTTTCAAAAACAATGGTATTGACTGTAGTAATAGTAAATTATGAAAATACTTACAGGCTATTCATTATTTAAAATAAAATGAAATCAATAGTTAATATGTTTTCAAAAACAATGATATTGACTGTAGTAATAGTAACTTACCAATCTATTTATTATTTAAAATAAAATAATTAATACCTTTTCAAAAAAACAATATTGACTGTAATGGTACAAAAATACTTATGCAACTAAAATAAAATGAAATCCAATAGTTAGTATTTTTTCAAAAACAATGATGTTGACTAATAATATTTATTGTAATTGTGATATGAAATACCTCGTTTTTCCAAATCAATTGGACTTGCTAAAGCAACAACGGCAAAGGCAATCAAAAAGAGAAGAGAAATATTGAATTTCATTTTAATTATTCAGTTAATTCTTGCTTTTTTTTGATTTCAAATTGTATGGAATTAAAAAAAATAAAAGCAAAATTTAGTTTTTCCAAATTGTTGTATATATGCAATTTTAATTGCATAAACATAGCGGGCTTTATCTGTGATTGGTTGATCCACAAAGAAATTGATTGGATAATTTTATAATATGCCGATCATTA